TTTGGACCAGTACTACATACACCAAAAGGTGTAAAACCTATTGGATACAAATGGGTTTTTGTGCAAAACCAAAAATGAAAACGTTGAAATTATGAGATACAAAACAAGGCTAGTTGCTCAAGGTTTTTCACAAAGACCTAGTATTGATTTTAAAGAGACATATGCACCTGTAGTGGATGCAAACACTTTTCAATATTTAATTAGTTTGGTTGTACATGAAAAACTTAATTTCCATCTAATGGATGTAGTTAGAACATATTTATATGGCTTTCTTGATGCTAACATTTATATGAAACTCCCTAGAAGGATTTAATTTTCTTGAAGATGCAATTTATAGAGAAGATTTATTCGATCAAATTGAATAAGTCCCTATATGGGCTAAAGCAATCAAGTCGCATGTGGTATAATCGACTAAGTGAATACTTGTTACAAGAAGGATATAAAAATGATCCAATTTGTCCGTGTATATTTATAAAAAGATCTGAAAACAGATTTCTCATAATTGTAGTTTATGTAGATGACATAAACATTATTGGAACTCTTGAAGATCTTTCAAAAGAAATAGATTGCTTAAAGAAAGAATTTCAAAAGAAATAGTTTATTTAGGAAGGACAAAATTTTGTCTAGGACTGCAAGTTGAATACTTAGAAAATGGATTTTTGTGCATCAAGAAGCTTATATAACAAAGGTGCTTAAAGGGTTTTATATGGACAAATCACATTCATTGTGGACTTCCATGATTGTAAGATCTTTAGATGTTAACAAAGATCTATTTAGACCCCAAAAAAGGATGAAGAAATACTTGGTCTCGAAGTATCATATTTTAGTGCTATAGGAGCACTAATGTACCTTGCTAATTATACACGACCTGATATAGCATTTGCTATTAATTTGTTAGCAATATATAGTTCTTCACCTATACGAAGACATTGGAATGGAGTTAAATAAATCCTTCATTATTTTAGAGGTACAATGGATATGGGGTTATTATATTTAAATGTTCCCAAACCAGAACTAATTGGTTATGCAGATGTAGGTTATTTGTCAAATCCTTATAATGGTAAATCACAAACAGGATATTTGTTTATAAGTGGTGGTACAGCCATTTCATGGTGATCTGTAAAACAAACCATATCAGCCACTTCATTTAATCATGCTGAAATTTTAGCATTACATGAGGCAAGTCGTGAATGTGTTTGGCTAAGATTTGTGTTCAACACATACGGGAAACTTGTGGTTTATCTTATGGAAAAATGATATTGACAGTTATATATGAAGATAATGCTGCATGTAATTGAAAGATGGATACATAAAGGGAGATAGAACAAAGCATATTCTACCAAAAAAAAATTTTACTCATGATCTTCAAAGGAATGATGATATAAATGTTCAACGAGTCCGCTAAAGTGACAACCTAACAGATCTATTTACAAAGTCACTTCTAAGAAAAGTTTTTGAACAGTTGATACACAAGATTGGACTTCGTCGTCTTAAATATTGTATGCATAAGGGGGAGAAAAAAATATTTATGAATGATGTACTCTTTTTCCTTCACTAAATTTTTATCCCACTGGATTTTTCCTAGTAAGGTTTTAACGAGGCACATTCTAAATAATGAACATCCAAGGGGAGTGTTATGAATAATAATTAGTGGCTTAATTAGTGGATGTCAATATTCATTATCAATCATTACCATTTATATTTTCGTTATGTATTATTTTCTTTATTGTGTAATTGTTTAGTTACCATATGTATTTATAAATAGGTTAGTCCTCTCTCAAAGATAATATACAAATCAGATTCTTTTCTCCATCTCATATTGTCTTCTTTGTTCTCTCTGTTTTTCTTTTCTTTATAACACTAGTTATAATTTTGAATTTTTTTCATTGATTGTTTCTTTAACATAATAAAAATTACTTTTTACATCAATTAAAAGTTAAACCGATGTAAAATATTATCTTTTAAATTAATTAAACAATAATAGATATAAAAAGTTGTATTTAGTTTCAAAATTGCTGCCATTTTTTTTTTGTTTTTACATTGATTATATAGAACCTGAGTGGATAATTTATCAACGCGTGCTCAAAAAATCATTTTTTTTCTTCCTGTCGACTATCTATTGTATTCTATAATATAAGGAATAACCTTTTTGATACATTACACATGTTCCACAGATAACAACCGATCAATAAAGTTTATTTTATGTACCTAAGATCACGTAAATTAACTTATTATACGAGTACTTAGTTTCAATAATATGAATCATTATAGTCTATTTAGTAGTTTGAAAACTTATTATATGCGTACTTAGTGTCGATTTTTATTATTATCCTCATTCTAAAAAAAAAATATTTTTTATTTTCAAAACATTAAATATGCTTTACTTTCATATGATATATTCTTTATAAATAATTAAGAAGATCAAGAGGATTACTAGGAAGATATAATAGTGCTCAAACATGTGGTCCAAAAAATGTTTGTTTTTGTGATTTTCTAAATTAATTTGAAGTAGGGGACCAATATCCAAATTAAAATGCATGTGGAGTGGTTTTCGAATAGACTAGAGAAACAAAAGCAAAACTGCAATTTGCTAAGCAAGGACCACAATGGAGTTTCACAGCAATTCATGGAAACTTGAAGAGTTACAACTAAACAACAATTCAATGCAAGACCTTCATGTTTCTGCCATTGGAAGAACTGAACCCACCATGAAGGAGGAGGTGGAGAGATCTCAACTAGGTGTTAAACACGAAGTTGCGAATACTGTTCTTCAGGTTGAGAACATGATGTTGGAAGCAAAAGGTAGAGATTCAGAACTTGACCAACGTGTTCGGGAACTCATTGACGAACTACAGGATCTTGTTAGTTTCAAAAAAGAATATGGCTCAACTGTGGTTACTTCAATAAACAGAAGGTAGAAAATGTAGAAAATAGTGTTTTTATTTTTTCCTTTCAATTTCTTTCTAAAATGCAATCACATATACTTTTATTACCATTTCTTTTTCAGTTCCCTGTAAAAATATTAAAATAGAAAATGTCCAAACCAAGTAGATACTAGGTTAACTATTAAAGTTTGTCAATAATTTCTAGAGTGATTTGATGAATTTGACTCAGTCATGGTTTACAAATCCTTTTGAGAAGGCATAATCATTCTGTTAAGTTCTAGCCAAATTTCTTATGATAAAGAAGTTATGCAGGTGTTTTTCAGAAAGAGATCATTGAGACCATTTAGGAGATGAAATTAATTTCTCATTTTTTGAAAATTCTTGTCTGGAACTCCTATCTTGTATTTTGAAAAAACAACATCTCATTTTAAAGAATTCATATCTTAAATTTTTTGTCAATAATGTCTCCATCTTCAATGAATTCTTGATGAAGAACTTAAAGTATAATTGTTATTGTATTTAGACTATGAAATTTATCTACTTGTTGCATAACTCTTAAATTATGGTACTATTCTTTCAAAGTGCCAGTAATTCAAGATTAATCCTCCGTTGGAAAGGAGGAGGTAACTTGCATAATCTCATCATCACTTATCTCCCTCAGTTACCTTAATGAGCATTATATATATGACGTTAATTTTAGAGGTTATTTCTCACGAATTCAAATTTTTCTTCCCATTCTTTAGAGCATACGCATACGCATAAAAAACAAAAATAAAAAACATAAAAAAGAAAAAGCATGATAAACTCTCCTTTTTAAAACTTAACTCATATATTCTATAAAAACATTTAACCGTACTTCTCTTTTCCTTCCCTCAATTATTAATAAAATATATTTTAATAAAATCACATATATATATATATATATAATACATTTATATATAAAAGTTATTCCCATCATTTATTAAAAATAATATTTAATAATTAAACGAAAATGTCGGAGTGTTAAAAAACAAGCATATCTTGAAAATGAAAACTACTTTCAGAAGATGAAAATAACAAAATTGCACAGTCGCTGGTTGCCAAAATCATGATAAAAACGAATTATACAATCATACAGTACGCAAGCCTCACCAAGACACCAACGTTACTGGCTAATTTAAATACTTGTTATATAAAAATTAGTATTCAAATACAAAACAAGGGAATGTGGGACTTTTTTGTCTTTTATAATATACTATAAAATTGCAATAAATTGTTGGCTCATAATTTGTAAGACACACAAGTGATTCATTTGTCTGATGGTTGATGTGCTTGGTCAACAGGGACAGTGAAATAGAACTTGTGGGGCCTTCTCTTCAACGTGCAACACACCAATATGATTATGAACACATAGTTGATATAGAGAAGATTTATTCAATCAAATTGAATAAGTCCCTATATGGGCTAAAGCAATCAAGTCGCATGTGGTATAATCGACTAAGTGAATACTTGTTACAAGAAGGATATAAAAATGATCCAATTTGTCCGTGTATATTTATAAAAAGATCTGAAAAC